GGCCTTATGTGGTGGGCCCCTGAACCTCTACCCTGCCCTGGCTTGGTCTTTGTTCTATGTTGGCTCCACTTTTTGCCCACTTACTTGTTTCCATCTCAGTTAAATTCCAAGGTATTCACTAGTGGAAGGGTAGATTGGCTTCAGAAGTATAAACAGAGAAAGGAGCCTTGAATTCAAGAAATGAATTTGGAGAGGGGAGCTCCACTAATAAGAGAAATCTATGCTAGTGACACAAAAGGTGCAGTAGTCTCCAGGATGTGTATAGTGGTTGCCATTCTCAAATTGCCTCCAGATGCCTCCTGTTTCTATCTACCAGTAAAAGAGGCCATCCATGAAGTAAATGTCCAGATTGCAGAAGCTTCCAAATTATCCAGGGGTCAGAGCAGATGCTTGCCATCACTCAACCACCTCTAAGAGGTTCTCTGAGTCCTTGGTGGTATCCAGCATCACTCAGGCTCACTGTTGATGCTGGACACAGTATTGAAGCCTGGGATTCTGATGTCAGCCTGCGGATCCTTCTAACCTGCTCATCTAGAGCTCCTGCATACAGCAGACTTTTTTTTAAAAAAAGTCCCTGTAAGACCTATTACAGTTCTGTGCTAAGACCACATATTTATTTCTGAATGAACTCCCAATAATACAGTCCCCAGTGGTTACGCGGTTGGCATGTCTGTCTTCAGCACTCTGTAGTTTCAGGCAATACTTTCGATCTTATATATTCCTCAGAGCAACCCTGGAGAGAAGGCCCTCTTTCATCACCACTTCCAGGGTGAGAAAAATGAAGGAGGAGGTCTTGCCCCTGCCCTGGACACAGCCCTAGGAATTCTGACTTCAGTCTAATTCTTTCTGTCACAGCAGTGGTTCCCAAGACTAGTGGCTGGTCAAAGTTGCCTGTAAAGCTGCTTAACAAACCAAAGTCATGAATTCTACTCTGGACCTCCTGAGTCACCCTTGCGGTGAATTTTGCCAATCTTTACTGTCCACAAGTTGCCTCAAAGATGTTTCTGCTGTCCTATAGCCTTCAAGCCCAAACAAGGTTAAGAATAGCCATGCTGTTCGTGAACTCCAGGTAGGAAGGTCAGGAAGGTTTGATGGCCACGTTTAGGAAGGCTTAAAAGGTAGCTGAAAGACTTCTGAGCTGAGAATGGGGATCTTCCTGAATAGCTGGCTTCAAACCAGCTAGAGCCTAGCTAAGTAGGCATGTCTGGAAAGATGCTCATATTGGTGGGACTCTGTAAAGAAAGGGGCAAGAACCCTGGCAATTAAGTGACCACAAACCAAGCTAAGGAGCACCCATCATGGGGACTGCAAATGCTGGGAAGGTTCTTCCAGTTTGGAAGAGTCATAGTTGGAAGCTACCACAACCCCCAGCAGGCCACCCACTAAACCTTAAACTCGGTCAGGAAAGAGGCCCTCACACTAATGTTCTCCAGAGGAACAATTAGGAGCTGGTTTAAGAAGTCCTCCAAATTGACTTAAACTGCCACAAACCCAGCAAGCAGACACCACTGACTGTGGTTTCTAAGGAAGGGTCACCTCCAGAGAGGACCCTGGGCTCCTCGCCGAAGCACTCTGTGCAGGTCAGTCTGGAAACCATTACTAAAAGCATAGAGAATCAGTTAAGAGACAAGGTGAAGCAAGCTGAAATTTGCAAAACACATTAACAGGAGCCTGATGAGATGCCAGAAGTGCCTGCCAGCAGGGACAATTTTTAGTCAATACTGAAAGTGGCTGCTTAAATATCCTGAGTCAACAGGATTCTGATTTCTCTGTGACTCTGTACTCCCATTTAATTATTTGATTGAACTTGGAAGTCTCCCCAAATCTATAAGGAAGTGAAAGAAAAGTGTGTTATTAAAAACAAAAGAGGTTATGGGTGTTACCTGCAGGCCTGGGTCCTGCCAGTGCTTCCTACTGCCATAACAGAAGGTGGCCAGGGTTCACAGGGGTTCAATGAGGCCCCTTTAAAGAGGGTGAAGGGTGAGCATTAGGCCTCAGCTGGCCCCAAGGGAAGCATTTATATGGTGTTCCTGCAGGCCTCTGAGATACTCTGTGTCACCCACAGAGCAGGAAGGAGACAGGGAATCGCCTGAGTCTCATACCCGAGAGCCAAGTTGATAGAAGGCACGTAATTGAAGAGCCTCTCTGTATGGGTGGCAGATGTGATTTATGAGGTAAGTCCTGAAAGTTCACCCAATTCTCTAGATCTTAGAAAGCAGATTGGTCTAGAGGAATTGAGATCTCACCACCTAACTTCAGAAACCAACGGGCTTTGGCTACTAATGGGAATGCTTCCCTATCAAGATGCCCACAAAAGGGTCAACGTGGTGGGAAGGGTTGAAGGACTTCTGCAGGGGCCCTCTAGCAGCCTCTGCTACCTCAGAGCTAAGCTGGGCCTACAAATCCACAAGAGCTGGCACCAAAACCAGAAAAGAGGGCCCTGTGAGCAGAAGACGTGCATTCTGGGAGGTGAAATGCTATGTCCGCTGCCATCCATGAACATACCATGGGGTACTCAACTCACACTACCAGGAAAGGTGTGAAAAAATGTGGGTTTGGGTAGATTTGAAGCCCCTAGCCCAGCTGGCTGTGTGCTCATTTCTCTGAATCTGTGGTAGTCATTCACCCACAATGTATGAACAATTTGTCATGAACACATCTGCTAACCACAGCCAGTAATTAGAATGTGCTCAGGTGGGGTCCACAGGAATCAGACAAACATGGCTGGACCACTGGAAAGCCAAGAAGTCCAAGTGGAGCAGCTAACCACTTGGGGAAACTGTGACATTGTTGTGATCCATCTCTGAAAGTGGACTCACATGGATGTGGTCCACCAAGACAATGAAGCCGGAAGATGAGACCCTCCTCCTTCTGTATACTGCCATGGGACCTTATAGCAACCTGAGCAAGTTTCTCGCCTCTGTTGTGGAAGCAGTAATGTGACTATTGGGTATAAAATGAGACAATGGGAGTGAAATGTTAGGATGAAGTTGTTCAACAAATGCCAGTTCTCCACCCCACCAGCTTTCACCAAAAAAAAGAGGTGACCTCAGTTTCTCCTTCTCTCAAAGTCAGTGTTAGATTTTGTGCAGGAAAGCAACAGTTAGACAAGGTGCTGAGCCAGGGGCCCAACTGTCTCCTGCCTCTGAGCAAAATGCCCAGTCCTGTTGGTCCCCTGTTGAAGGACCAAATACAGCAAGAGTCTGAAAAATATATTTGTGCACCTTCCTGGAGTCTGAGGAATTCTTAGACCCACTGTTCTGAGTGGCTTATGGAGCAACCTCTTAGGAATCCCAATGGCAGAGACCTGCTCCTGTTGAAGGGTCCATGGAGCCCCAGAAGCTCCACACCTTACCCCAGACTACATGGTCATATGTTCTGCACGTGGATATGGAAGCTAAGGCCAAGACTGATGGAGGCTCCTGGATACCTCTTTGACCCTATCCCCCACCACTCCATTCCTTTCCCAGCCCTATCTAGAAATACTGACCTTTCTGTCTCCTGTCTTCCTGTCACCAAGACTGTGTCTGTCCTAGGAGACAGTGCTGCCTGGAAGCCCCCACCCAAACAGTCACATGGCAGCATTTTCCCTGTACCCTAGTTTCAGTTTAAATGCTGCTGCTCAAGGAAGGCTTCATTCCCCTCGTCTCCAATACGCAGTTTTACTTTCTCCTTAGTACTCATGTCTATCTGAAGTGATCTGATTTATTTTGTTTCATGTGAAGTATTCTGATTTTCTCTATGAAAACCCAAGCTGTGTGAAGGGAGGGACCCTAACACTTAGGCAATCACTGGCAGATCCCAGGATGGCTCCTGGCCTGATCTCTATTCTGGGAGCAGCATTGTTGGGCATATCCATGATTATCATAATCTTATCCTGTTACTGTTTGAACAACTATCCAGGCTTAGACACAACCAGAAACATGAAATTCTGGGACATAGGAGGGATGGAAATGCCCCTGGATCACAGGAGAAAGTCTGCTCTGAGCTCCTCAGGACATAGAATCACAAATGCCACCACCCATGGGTCCCCAGAATGGAAGTTTTTCTCTGTGCTTCTTACCGGAATTCAACAGAAGAGTGCAGGTCATCTCTCAGTCTCAGATTCTGAGATCAAACCAGAGGGAGGTCTTCAGGCCCTGACATGGTACCCAATGCCCAGGCTCAAGTGACACTCAGGAAACATTGTCTAATAAAAGTGACATCAGCTGAGCTCTTACCTGGATGATTTAGCCATTGAATTGTTCTGACTCTTCACTTGGATTGTCTCATTTGTCTTGAAAAACTGGCTCAGTGACCAGGTTTGGTTTTTGAAAAAGGCATGGCATGATTCCCTGTGACAGAAATACACTGAGGCCTTGCCTTGGGAACTCCAGAACTACATGGATCTCCAGAGGGATCCATGTAGATCGCCTGGCATGGGATTTCCAGAAAGGGAGAGGGTAGCAGTGGTGGGCACTCTTCAGTCCCATCCCTAGGTCTTCATTTGCGACCCCATACTGAAAGCAAAATTGTGTCAGTTTGATAATGACTCTGAGGAGAGTGAATGACTCCTCAAGTAGCAGTGAGTGAGTAGAGCAGGCCAATACCCTGAGTTCTGTATAAACAGCCATCAGAGGGAGGTGACAGAAGGAGGTCTCAGCACTCCGAAGTAAGAGGAAGCATGCTACTAAGGACATGTGTTCTGAGAAACTTCCTTTTGTGGGTAGGTGCCAGCAGATCAATACATTTTTCTGAGATTCTTTTGGTGGAGGGATAAAGAGACCTTTTTAGAATAAGGGCACATCGGGTAGGGGAAGCTCAAAACAAAATCTGATTCAAAATACAGTGAGCAGAATGTCAGACACGTCTTGTTCTAGGGCCCCAAACTCCACCTGTGCCGCGGGCCCTTTCTAGCCTCTTTCCCACCCCCCATAATGTGTACCCCTGACCTCACCAATGGTCTTTATGGGCAATGTAGGGCTGGTGGGATGAGGATTAAAGCCAGACCCTGTACTCACCATCTACCTCCTCATTGTTGGGGAGCAGGTGCCGACCATCGCTGAATCCCATGGTGGCCATGGTTTTCGTGTCTTGGTTTCCCTGAGCACTGGGTTCTGCAAAAAGGCATACAGGAAGGAGCAATGACAACAGTCCCCCAGGGAGGCATCAGGATGCCTCTGAACATCAGCGGCCCCTAGATGTTTCCTTCAGCTGCTGTTGCAAGGCAGGACAGCAGTTCCAATGGTGAAATGCCACGCTGGGGAAGGACATTTGATGTATTTAATGTACTCAGCCCCTAGTAGATGGGGGTGTGCCTGCTTCTGAGAGCAGCACACAGACAGGCAGCCTGATAAGGGCTCACAGGTGGTGCTCTTTCTTGCTCCTGCTTCCTTTAGGTTCTATTCATGCCAGGGTAAGGGTGGGGCTGTCATCTGTGTGGAGGGCACAGGTGCCCTCTGCACTGCTTTGGTTTAAGACCCACTTCTTGACACCAACTTCTCTTTAGAGCCACCTGAAGTTCATCCCTCCACTCTTCCCCAGATCATCCAAAAAAGCCAGGGTGTGTGTCCCATGGGAGACCCTGTCAGGATAGAGGCCAGCTTAGGAAGGTTAGTAGTCTATGTGGCAGTGTTCTCATGTCCCTCTTCCATTACTGGTCTTGAGAAACCCCACCCAGCTGTGTGGAGATGGTAATCGTCACTGGAGGAAATGTTCCAGGCCCCCAGAGGTTACTAAGGCACCAGCACTGTGCTCCAGGGACCACAGGGCAGCCTAAGAGACAGACACACCTGGCCCACAGCCTAAGGGCTGAGGCTCACAACTGTTGTAGAAAGGGCTGGGGAAAGAAAAAGACCAGATCCTCTCTTTTGAGACCAAATACTGGGCTGTGCACTTTCTCTGTATGCAGCTACTCAGCCAAGGAGGTCAGGGTAGAGGCTGGTCTTAGAGAGAGGGCACCTTTTTTCCCTATTATAAGCTATATTTAGGGACTATCTAGCCTGCAGCTTCCAAAGGAGGGCCCTTTCCCTATGTGCATAGAGACATTGTTTGAAGTCTAGGGGCTGGTTAGCCCTCCCCTCTTTCCGTACCTCTCTCCCTCCTCTTTCTCAGGCTCTCTATTAAAGTCTTTTAGTGGGAAGACCTTATTCATTTTCCACTCTGATTGCTTCTCCCAGTTCAGAACTGGAAGTGGATTAGATTCTATTGACCAAGACCATGTTCCAGTTGCTGCTTCTCAAACTGCCAGTGTGGGAACCTCCTGCAGGTGAATGCACAGAACAGTGCAGGGTTTGAGCTGGGCACACCTTCTGGAACCACTATACCCTCTCCTGGTGCTATAGCTTCCAGCCCTGCCCTCCTCTCTCCCACCATCACATGCCAAAACGTCCCTCTCCCTTTGCCTTTGTCTATTTCTGACAACAAAGAAAAGGGAAAAAAATATTTCCCCTCTCTAGGAAACTTCTACACAGTGAGGATAGCATGTGGTGGGGAGAGGGGATGATGTCAGTGGGTAAGGAGCCCAGAATCTCCAATGAGGGTCACTAGTGAGCATTGCTGCTTGTCTTTAAGAGCCAAAATTGTTTCTAATTTTTCATTTAGACCCTTCTGTCTCAGTGTCTCCATCTGTAAAATGTGGGCAAAACCAATCTCAGTTACCAGGAATACTCAGGTGAGCTGATACTAGAGCGAAACCACTGTGGACACCTTTTCTTTTCTTTTTCTTTCTTTTTTTTTTTTCTCTTGTGGTCTCTAGGTTTGAACTCAGGGCTTTGTGCTTGGTAGGCAGGCACTCTACCACTTGAACCATGCCTCCAGTGCTTTTGGCTGTGGTTATTTTGCTTTTTTGCCCAGGCCAGCTTGGACCATGATCTTCCTACTTGAAGCATCTCACCATTGCCAGAATGCCAGGCATGCATCAGCATGCCCAGTTATTGGTTGAGATGGAGTCTCCTTATCATTTTGCCAGGACTGGCCTCAAACTGCAATCCTCCCCCCATCTCAACCTTAAAGTAGTTGGGACTGTAGACGTGAGTCACCAGGGCTTGGCCTATAAACACCATTTTTAAAGTTCTGCAAGTACCCATGTCTTTGTTGAGACAGCTCCACTTTCAAATAGAGTGACTACAATTCACGTGTCTCCGACAGACTTTCTGCATATATTAGCTATGCAAATAAGGGACCCTGGACTGAGAAGTTTTCCTCTAGGGACCCCTGGAGCAGCTGAAGATTAGCAGCTGTCAGAATGAATCCATTTCCTTCTCCTCCTCAGAGGATGGAAAGGTTTTCCTCCTGTTGCTGGGTTTCCCCTCAGGTCTGTGTTTCTCTCTGAAACAGGATAGTCGCTACAGGACATGGGAGTATGGGATGGACTGGATCTAACTTGCAGCTGGAGACCTTTTCGTTGAACTCTGGCTTCTTTTTTGGGTACCATGAGCCAAACAGTGATCCCCAAACCAATTAAACACTGGGTTGTTTTACCCTAACCTCTCATCATCTTGTCATTGCTGGAACTGGTGAGTTAAAATTTTGTCCCTGTTCACAGTTTTGGAAGTCAGAAGAAAATGAGGAAAGTGGAAGGTGTTACTGTGTGAGGAAAGCCTGTTTGGGAAACTTCTCTAGGGCAAAGGACAAAGGGGAGCTCTCTGAAACCATTCCCTACCCCTGAAGCACTTAAGGGAAAATCTCTCAGATAGAAAAGAGCCATGAAAACTAATGCATGTGAGACCTTTGAGGCTAGTTAAGCCTGTCAGCCCAGTTCAAGGGGCATCAGATTCTCCAGAATGCAAGAAGTGAACTGATCCTTGGGAGCTTCTACCACCCAGAAGGTGGTGAGTAGGATGCTACCTGATGACTCTGTAGACGCAAGGACCACTGGACACACCTAGAGTGCTTCATGGGAAAATCATCAGTGCTGATGGCAAGACTACCCGTATTTGCTTACCCTTGTGATCAAGTCGAGTTTTAGGTCTCCCCATGATCTTGTCCTCTGTGGCGTTCAAGTTCTGAATCAAAAAGTATGTGGTCATTTTCCCTTTACCTTTTACTTCAATTTCACCCCTCTCCATGATTTCAAACCCTTGATTTTTCAGGGCTCTGCATAGAGAAAAACAATGCACCAGCTATCAAAGACCCAAGAGATGGTGATGCAAGAAGTCTGGGATCTAAGACAGACAGCAGAAGAGGAGGGAGGACCAGGACATCAGTTAGAGTCTGAGGAGGGTACAAAGGCAGTGAGGAAGGTAGGGAAGGAAGGAAGAATGAAGTTAGGGCACACTGAGCAGGGTACCCAAGGCCAAGAGAGGGCACAGAGGAATTACCAATCCCCGTGATCCTACCCCAGTGATCCTCCCTCCAACACATCCCTCACAAATGAAGCCCCCATTTTTACTGCACTGCTGTGTTCACCAGCAGTACCAGTTTTGTCTAAGTCCTACCCTGGACACCTGCTCAAGATTAAGTTCATGCATTTCCATAAAACCTTCCTCTGTGGGGCAGGCTTCTTCCCCTGGGATCCCAGGCACACACTCTAACTTCCATAGGAAAAATAGAGTAATTAAATATCAGGGAGTCTGAGCTCTGAACCCTGCTTGCTTTTAGGCTCTTCTCCTTCCTGGCCTACCTGGACATGAGGTAAGTCGTTAACTTTTTTGACCTTACTTTTTCTCATCTGTAAATAGGGATAATGGCAGACATCTCATGGAGTTGTTCAATAGCAAATGAATCAATATAGACACAGGAATTAGAATCTGGGCTGACAGAGTGGATCAAGTAGTTGAGAAATTTAGAATTCAATGAGACCCATTATAAGTGCCTAAGAAACTGTAGGAATCCTTTTTTTTTTTTTCCATTACTGAGGTTTAAGCTCAGACCCTCTACCAGGTGAGGTACCTGCCACTCCTTTATGCTTTTTTTGAGCTAGGATGTTACTTTATGCCCAGGCTGGCCTGGACTACAACCCTCCTATTTATGCTTCCCACATAGCTGGAGTAATAGGTGCATGCCACCATACCCAGCCATTGGCTGAGACGGGTTCTTGTGAATATTTTGCCCCAACTGGCTTCAAACTGCAGTTCTGTCAATCTGTGCCACCCATGTAGCTAGGATTACAAGCCTGAGTCACTGTGCCAGGCCTATACGTATCTTTATCATTGTATTTATCTCACTTTAAAAGTAATTAACTATGAGGCTGGGTACCACAGGGCACCTGTAGTCCCAGCTACACTAGGCAAAAGCATGAGACCCTATCTGAAATATAACTAAAGCAAACAAGGGCTGGAGGTGGGGGTGGTTCAAATGGTAGAGCACTTGCCTAGCAAGCATGAGGACAAAACTCCATTTCTACCAAAAAAAAAAAAAAATAACTGAATTTTCTTTCTTCCTCGTCTAGACCAAGGATAAGCAAACTTTTTCAATACAACACCAGATAGTAAATACTTCAGGCTTTACAGGCCATATAATCTCTGTCACAATTACTCAACTCTGCTATTATATCATATAATCTAAGCCATAGAAAATATGTAAACAAAAGAGCATGGCTGTGTTCCAATAAAACTTTACTTACAAAAATAAGTAGCAGATTGGATTTGGCTTGTGGTTTATAGTTTTCTGTACTCTGCACTAAACAAAATGCTCATTGAGAGCAAAAAGTATGTTATAGTAGAGGTTCCACAGTATTTATTGTCTGGCACAATGCCTTCTGTAAGCCAGTGAAGCATGGGAGAAAAACTATGAGTATTCTCTACTACCCCCATCCCATGGGAAAGGAAGTTCTGAAAGGAGGGAGGGACAAAGGAAGGCATGAATAAATGAATGGCTACCTGTAGGCTGTGGGACTGAGATGTACTTTGTTGGGAACCCGTGACTTTCCATCCTAGAGGCTGTATTCACAGTGTCACCAAACAAGCAGTACCGTGGCATCTTATCTCCCACAACACCTACTAACACTGGTCCAGTATGAATCCCCACTCTGATCTGTACAAAGAGAGCCTCACTGAAAACAAACCATCTAATCCTTTTGCTTTTTCTGCATAATTTACAAAGTAAAACCCACACATATTAAAAGAGTTTATCCCCATGAGTTTTGACCAGTGCATGTATCCCTGTAACTATCATCAAAATGAAATGTAGAATAATTCTGTTAAAAATGTTACCCCTTTCCATTTAAACTCCCCTTACCCAACTCCCGACAGATAACCACTTTCTTGTATCTTTTAACCAAAGATTAATTTACATGCTCCAGAACCTCACATAAATAAAATAATAATGAAATAACGGTATACGTTGTTTACTGTCGGACTTCACTGACTCAACATAGTGTTCTTGAGAGTCATTCATTGCTATGTGTACCAGTAGTTCATTATTTTCATTCATGAACAACAAGAGTACACCATGACTCATTTATCCATTCTCTTCTTCATGAGTAGTTTGGAACTATTGTTATAAAGGCTGGTATGAACATTTCTGTACAGATATTTTTGTGGACACAGGCATTCATTCCTCTTAGGTAAATACCTGGAAGGGAAAATTTCACTTCTGGGTCACAAGGTAGATGCATTTCAAATTTTACCAGAACAGAACAAATTTCTCAACAATTCTCCAAAGCTCATTTTTCAACTCTCTGTTTTCTATTCCTATCAGTAAGGGTGCACTTTCAGGTGCTCCAAATTTAGCACCATTTGGCTTTCCAGTGGGTGTGACCTTGCACTGTGGTTTTAATTTGCATTCCCCTGGTGGACAATGATGCATATATTATCCATTCATGCATCTTCTTCTGTGGAAAGTCTGTACAAGTTTTTTGCCCATTTAAAAAAATTGGCTTGTTGATATTTATCACTGTTCAGAATAGCCAAGCTATGGAAACAACCCAGATGCCCTACGACTGATGAATGGATTAAGAAAAAAAAAAAAAAATATATATATATATATAACCAATGTACAATACCAGCCTGTTCAGAATTGTAACAATGAATCTCCCAAGTACAATGAATATATCATAATAAAAATGAAAAAATTGGACTGTTCATCTCTTATTGTTAATGTATATGAATTCTAAGCATACTTGGATATGTGAGCTATGTATATATTATATTTTTCTTAGTCTATGGGTTTGTATTCATTTTCTTTAGTAAACAGAAATTTTTAACTTTGTTAAATATATTAGTTTGCTTGGCCATCATAATTAGCTATCACAGACTGGGGGTTTAACTGACTAAAATTTATTTTCTCACAGTTCTGGAGGCTGAAGTCTGAGTCAAGGTGTGGGCAAATTTGGTGTCTCCTGAGGTCCCTCTCTGCAGCCTGAAAATGACCACCTTTCTTCTCTGTCCTCCCATGACATTTCCACTGTGTGGGGACATCCCTAATATTTCTTTATGTGTCCTAATACCCTCTTCTTATAAGGACGTCAGTCAGATTGGAGTAGGATTCATCCTTAAGGTCTCATTTTAACTTAGTCAACTCTTTGAAGGCCCTATCTCTAAACACAGTCCATCTTCTCAGGTACTGAGGTCTAGGACTTTGACACACGAATTTTGGGGGGACACAAATTTGTCCATAACAATAAAGTGTTTCATTTCATCCTTTCCTATTTAGTGCTTCTGTGCACTAAGAAATCCTTGTTTATGGCAAAGACATGAACCATACAGAATCATTTTCTTCAAGAAGGCTGCTTTCCCCACTGAATTGATGTGGTGGGCCTTGGGTATAAATCAATTGAGCTTAGATGTGTAGAATGTGTAGTCTGTCAGGACTCTCTCTATGGCTTCAGTGATCTGTTTGTCTGTCCCTCTTCCAATTCCACTCTACATTAGAATAAGTTTTGAAATTTGGTAATACAAACCCTCCAATTTTGGCATTTTTAAGACTGAGCTATTATGGATTCTTTACATTTCCATATACATTTTTAGAATCAACTTGTAATATTTCAAAAAAGCTTTTGACTGGTATTTCTGCTAAATGTACACATTAATTTAGTGAGTTTCAGTCATGAATATGGCTTATCTCTTCATTAATTAGTCATCTTTATTTTTTTAAGAAATATTTGTAATTTTCAGCAAAGTTGTCTGTCCCTCTTCCAATTCCACTCTACATTAGAATAAGTTTTGAAATTTGGTAATACAAACCCTCCAATTTTGGCATTTTTAAGACTGAGCTATTATGGATTCTTTACATTTCCATATACATTTTTAGAATCAACTTGTAAATATTTTCAAAGAAAAGGCTTTTGACTGGTATTCTGCTAAATGTACACATTAATTTAGTGAGTTTTCAGTCATGAATATGGCTTATCTCTTCATTTAATTAGGTCATCTTTATTTTTCTGTAAGAAATATTTTGTAATTTTCAGCAAAGAGGCTATGTATACCCTTTGTTAGGTTTGTTTTTAGGAATCTAAATAGTTTAACTCTTTTCATTTCATTTTCTAATTTTCTCTCCTTAGTATATAGAAATTCAATTAATTTTTGTGTGTTGTCCTTTTATCTTGTGACTTTGCTAAACTCATTTATTAGAGCTTGCTGTTTTCTGTAGATTATCTATGATCTAGAGGCACTATTATTTGGTGTGTGAACAATGATAGTATTACTTCTTCCTTTACAGTCTTTGGTTCTTATACTTATTTTCCTGGCCTTATTATAAGCAGTGGGTAGGGCTTTGAGGTGATTGTTGGTTTTTTTTTAGCTCACTTGGAGTTTACTAAGCTCATTAATATGTGAGCTGATATCCTTCATCAGTGTTGGAAATTCTCAACCATTGTCTCTTCAAATATTTCATCTGACCCATTCTTATTCTATTCTAGGACTCTAGCTCCGTATCTGGGAGTTCATTTGATGCAAAGGTCTAGAATATTCTGGTTCATTTTTTCTTCACTGATTTCTTCTTTGTCTTTCAGTTTGGATAATTTCTGTTTCTCTGTTTTCAAATTCCCTGATCTTTTCCTCTATCAACCCCAGTCTCCACTGAACCCATAAAATGAATTCTTTCCCTCTGATTTCTGATATGATTGTTTATCTCCATTCAATGTATACATAGATAGATTAATAGATATAAATAGATGAGGTATGTGTTTATTTCCTGCTTATTCACATGTGTTTTCCCCTTTAATAGTAAATCATACAAACATTTATTGTAAAGACTCTGCCTGATAGTTCTAACATCTATGTCAACTCTTGACCTGCTTTTCTTAACTATTTCTTCTAGTGGCTGTATGTCGCATTACTATTTTCTTGTTTCTTCTTGCACCATGTATTTGAGATTTTTAAATTGTATGCCTCATGTGAGAATACAGTAGAGGCCAAAGTAGATAATACTTACCCCTCAGAAAAGGTCATACCCTTTCTTTTGTGAGCCTGCTAGAGTGGAGACAAAGTGCAATTATTCTATAAATGAGTTGACCCTGGGATTTTTCCACTGATATTGCCAGATTCTATGCAGACTTTATTAAAATATTTTAAAACTGGATCAGGACTTTTACTCCATCCAGACTGGGAATCTGAGTACCAGCAAGGCTCTGAGCACCTCCTGATGCTCTACCACTAAGCCAACAATGTTCTGACTTGTGGGAGATCGCTCTCTCTGCAACATACCCTATGGAATCTCTGGAGTCTCTCTGTTCTTCAGTCCCATCCTGGCTCTCTGCACCCAGAGAGATTTCTCTCTGCCATTGCTCCTTGCCCCAGACCTTGAAGGGTCATTGCCATGTACTTGGTAAAGGCAAAGAATGCCTCGCAAGAGTTTCTCTTAGTTCTCTAACACTAGCTCTTCATAAGACACTGCTTTGCATTTGAAGAGGACCCCTTACACCTCAAGGACTGGAGTTCCCAGCTCTCCTCCTGTGGCTCTAGCCTTTGACAAAATAACCCCATGCATTCAGTGAAATCATATAAGAAAGAAGTGTGGATATGTACAAACTCTGGCTGGGGCTCTTTGTGATTCTAACCTACGGAGCTAAGGTCAAGGACTCTAATCTATCATTCTAACTCCTGTATGATCAGGCATGAGTGTAATTATGGCTGCCTCCTCTTTGAAAAGAAGTGTCACTTTCTGGAATTTACTGCAGTTATTTTCTTTGCTCTCTGATGGGATTTTTTTAAATGCTAGAATAGAAACAACATCTTTGGCAACTTTCTATATCATAACTAGACCTTCTTGTATTTATATTAGATTTTTTTCTCCTTAAATAAGATTATAAATTCTTCTAGGAAAAGGACCTGTCGATATATCTCTGAATCCTTCAACACACCTACTAATACATCTCATGCATATGAGGACCTCATTATGTATATTAAATGTGTATTAGAGAATGTATGAATAAAAGAAGAGAAGATCTCAATGCATAGTATAGAAATAGTGGTGCAGTTCTCTAAAGAGAGAAAATGTTTATAGTCTTTCTTCTACCTCCTTGATATGCTATTTCTGGTGGCCATTTCATGATGCTCCTAACAGTGTTCCTGTTCTTATCTTAGAATTGCTAATATCCCTAATATTGTTTGGTTTTGGTTTTGGTGAATCCACCTTGAGAGTTTCCAGGAATTCACCATTTTATTTCATTCCTGTTGGTGAAGCATTATTTTCATTTGTTGCTACTCTCCTCCCCCCACACTTTCCTTTTTTCTATTGACACAAGTTTATATTTTCAACTATTTTTTTTGTCAGTGGCTTATATTAGTGCCCTTTAGTGGAAGAACTGCTCTTACCTGACCTTCTTATCTCTACTCCCTCATTACCTCCCATCCTAATTTTAATTTATGCATCAGAGTTTTTATTCAACAGATGCATATTATGGGCTTCCAATGAGTCACATTTTGTGGACATTTTGTTTTGGGATGGCCTAAGGCCAGCTTTTACTTAGAAGACTCTAGGGACACTGTAGGCAGAACCTGCGCTGTTTCTCAGCCTCCAAATCACTGTAGTGTGGGGGAGTAGAGCATATTTTCAGAACCATCTGAAAAGAAGTAATAATTTGGAAAAATAATTTTCCATGTTATAATTGTTCCATTGACTATTCAGCTCATCTTGGATTTTTTACTGGCATGAGCAGGGCAGGAATCTAGATGTTAAAAGGCAGAGAGCCATGGCTCTAAGCCATCTCAGAGGGATTAGGATCTGCTGAACTGGCAGAAAAGAACATGTAATTCTCATCTCTAAAACTGTCCAACTTTTATCATGTGAGTAAACTTCCCTACTAGGAAGAGTAGCTTCCGGAGAGAAAGGCAAGCAGATGTCTTGCTAACGGCTGCATGGTGGAAGGAAAGCCGTTCTGAATATCTTATGGCACTGTGGTGCCTGGGCTGCTGACTGGAGGCAACTTCACACCTCAGCCTGAGCTCCGAACTGTCAGACAGCATGTTGGATATGTAATTTCCCCCAACAGGAAAAGTTGGCCGGCTGTTCAGTAAACCTGAGCCACCTGTTGAAATGCCTCAACCAAAAAGCAGGAATTATAAATGAGCTGGCTCTCGAGATGGATTGAGCCTTGCTAGGTAAATAAAGAGACATGGTCAGCACCATCCTAAGTTACAGACAAAGGAAAGTTGCAGTGAATCATGGGAAAATTCTCATCACAACCTCCTCTAAAATTTGAGAGAAATTGAGACTATAACACCCTTACAAACATTTCTTTTCCTTAGAACATAAAAGCTTTGGAGAAGTTACCCATTTTAAATTCTGCAACATACCCACTAGCTGCCTAAGCAAACTAGAATTCCATTTTGGGAGCTGGTGAAGTAGCTCAAGTGGTAGAGCACCTGCCTAGCAAGCACAAAGTCCTGAGTTAAAACCAAACCACCCCCCAAAAAATAGAATTCCACTTTTGCTTGTAAGATGTTTGGTATTAAGCAAAGCACTCAGTTGTTCTCTACCTGGATGGGTTCTCCAGTGACAGGATTCATCACTTCCTTTGCAGAAATTCTCATCCCCAAGGCAAAGTTAGCCACTCTTTGAGCATGGCTTTCGATAGGCACTGGCACACCACCTACCACCATGTAAGCATCACCTATTGTTTCCACCTGTTAGGGGAAAAAAGGTATTCAGAGGGTTTCCTTAATGCCCTACACATCCCATTAAATATGCCTAGTATTTTTCATATATTGACACAAGAACCGTATTAAAAATACATGAAGAGCGTGTGGAGAAGGTGAGAAGGAACATGGCTCTTTCTTGAGTTGCTGTGGATGGAACCCAGGGTCTCATGCATACTAGGCAAATGCTCTACCACTAAGCTACATCCCCAGCTTCCTTTTTGTTTTTGGTAGATACAAATCCCAGAGAAGATGAAGCTCCTAGGTAGTCATATGATGCTGTGTGTTAAGTGATACCTTATTTGGATGAGACTTCTTGCTGAATTTAGGAGCAAAAGACTCCCCCAAAGAGCACCAAAGCATGATATTAGCACAGGGTATTGTAAAAAAGTTTCCTAAGAAGCTAAAATTCCAAGACTGGGGGTATGGTTTAAGAGGTAGAGCCCTTGCCTAGCATGTGGGATTCAATCCACAGTAAGGAAAAAACAAAATAAAACTAAGATTCCTAAAATACTTTCAATTCCCTCTTAGCTTTTCCTCTTCACCCTACTCCCATCCACACTCAATCCCAGACTAATGCAGATGGAGGCAAAGGAAGACTTAGAATCAAGTGTCTGCCAGGCCTGAGCCCTGAACCATGCCACACTGCACACACACTCACTTTGTAGACCTCATGCACACTGGTGAGTCTGTCAAACTTGGAGTACATTGAATTCAGCATATTCACTATCTGGATAGGTTCACAGGCAGCACAGATGTTAGTAAATGTCACCACATCACTAAAAAGGATTGTGCAGATTTCAAATTCTCCTGCAACAGAAATAGGTGTCAGTGATAGCCAAGGATACAGAATAATAATAAGACTATGAATTCTGGATTCAAGTGCTGTTTGAGGATAAAAGCTGCCTGTTCCTTAGGGAAGTGTAGCCAGATGTCACTTGCCAACTCACAAGTCACTCAACAGATCTCATGAGCACATCTACTGAGTTCCCACTGCAAATCAACCATCATGAGAAGAGAATCATGTCATATGAATGAGCAGTGAAGGCCCTGCTTCCAGTCTAGTGAAGAAGGTATAAGAGTAAGCAAGAGCTCTCAATGAGATGTGACAAGTGCTGCGGGTTGACAGAAATGGCCCCTAGAAAGTGGGCCAGGCAGAGCCTGAACTACAGGAGGTCCAAGGTCAGGCTGGAAGAAACTGGTCACCGTGATGTGGTGTGTCCCCTTGTATTTTTACAGGGGCATGGCTTAAATGTTCTCCTAACTCTGCCCCAGCATCTACTCTGGCTCCCACTAATGCTAATTTCCACATGACAGCCAAAAGTGCTGTCAAGTTTGATCCCCTCTCTTCTACTTTGAAACTTCCAATACTTCCACAACACTTGAAATCAAACCTCAAATCCTTACAATGGCCTACAAATGGCTGTTCCTGATGCCTCCTTGACCTCATGTCACAGCACTGTCCCTCTAGCTTACTCTACTCTGGCCACACTGGACACTTTGGGTTTTCCCCCAGCGTGTTAAGTGCCTACCACCTTAGGGCCTTTGCACCTGCCTATTTTCACTTCTGAAATATCCACAGGGCTCTGCCCCTGACAGAGTGTAACCAAGTTAGCAAGAACTTTCTTGCTAGCTCTTCTAAAATAAGAGTCCCTAAATTCTCCATCCACTTAGCCTGATTGCCTGCTTCCCACTTCACAAGACTTATGTGGCATGATATTTGTATGGAATTATTTATCTATTGTCTACCTCCTCCATTGGAATAATAAACTCCCCAAGGCAGGAGAGTATCTGTTTTGATCTCTGCTGCATCCCTAGCACCTGGCATGGTAGATGCTAAGTAAATATTTATTGATTAGGTAAATCGATGGCTCCTTGAACACAGCTGGGTGCCTTCTGTAGTATTTACACCTCTGGGAGTCATGTCTCCTTCATGTAACTTTCTCTTCCCTTTTGCTCCTGGCTTATCATTCTCTCTCCATATTCTTCTCACCATTCTGATCTTGTTTTGTATCTTTTATTGACTTTTCATCTTTCTTAAATATTAGGTGTCCCCCACTCTCTTCTCTTCTCACCTTGTATCTTCCAGATGATTGTATCCATCATTCATAGGGTCAATGATCAGCTGTCACCCAGAGGGTGGTAACTACTAGTTCCAATAACTTCATTCTAGAATGTTCCCTTGAGCTTTCCCATGATTCCTCCATGGTACATGGAGATTCCTATAGACATCTCAAACCCAACAATTCTACACTGACCTCATCATCCTCCCCTCAGGCCTGCACATTTTTCTGTTCCATCTTGGGAAGAGCATCATGTGTTTCACACTGTCTCTGACTTTCCCTGCCACATCAGGATGAAAGCCTCCTGGCTCTGCTCATACTGCCTTATCTCTGTCCTTGATCCTCATGAAGCTGCACTCTGGTGACCTCTCAGCCTGCCTTCCTCTGCTGCAATCACTATACCACAGCCAAAATTGCTAAACCCAATTGTATTATTTCCACTATAAGAAAAACAAACTTCAAAGAATCCCTAGTGCCTAGCAAACGAAACTCAATTTCCTTTTCTGTGATAATTCAGATCTATCACTATCTCCTGAGCCTCACCCCTCATCCTCAGCCTCCTTAGATACCACTTGTCCATGTACCGAACACTTGTCTGTGTTCTGGGGACAATGCATTGCCATTGTCTCAAAATTTATTTTCAAGTTGCCTCACCTTTGCTCTTGCTATGCTATTCTTCTGAAATGCTTTTTCCTTCTTTGCTTGCTGGAATTCAACCTCAAGGCCCACCTCAACTACCATATACTTTCCTGAAGTGTGTTGCAGCCTCACCCTGCCCCTGGCTCTTTCTCTCCTGACACCTATTCATTATTAATGTTTTACATTAACACAACCCCTGGAAAGAATATGTAGTGGAGAGAATATGTATTTTAGAGTCAGATTTACCATGATTCAATTCTAGCTCACAAGCTGAGGTGAGTGTCAATGTGCAAAGCTATATATAAGTGTTGAAATATTAAAGCCAGGCACGATGGCTTATGCCTGTAATCCTAGCTAATTGGGAGGCAGAGATTGGGAGAATCCCAATATGAGGCCAGCTCAGGTAAACAGTTTGTGAGATCCCATCTCAAACAACGGCTGAGCACCATGGTATGCACCTGTCATCTCAGCTACATGGGAAAGCCCAAGTAGAAAGATGTGGGGAGCAGATTATGAGAAGCCTATGAGAACATGACATAAGCATAGCTGTGCCGAATAATCTACAGACTGAGTTTGGCATGGCCCCAGCCGCAGCAGAGGATGAAGGCAAAATGCAGCACAGTTGATTTCCCTGAGTTGTTTACATTCAGAGAAGTAGAGAGCAAGTTTCTCTTGTTACAATGTCACACCCCTCCCCAAGAACTGTTGCTCCACCTCCTTGTTTACCATTGTATATAAAAGACTCTGAAGAAGGATGGGGTTTTGGATTGGTGGGCTGCTTGTGAGAATGACGCTGTTGCTGCTGCTGCTGGCTGTTGTGTGTCTGCAAGTCTGAGGACCAAGATTTTAAGAGAGATTAAAGGGAACATAGGACAGTGCAAGTCTAAGGAAAGAGACTTTAAAGAATAGAAAAGAAGCAAGGTTTTAAAGAATAGTAAAGAAGTAAGGCCTTAAAGAATAGAGAAGAAAAGAAGAGAAGTAAAAGAAGTAACAAGGCTGTTGTGTGTCTCCATCTGAGCACCCAACACACCTGATCCCAACTTTGTGCATGTCTGTCTTCCATTGTTTGTCCTTTCTGCATCTCCAGTCACCCCCAGTTAGGTCAGTAAAACCAGAGCTCAAGAAAGCTCGCAACAGGCTGGCCTGGACATAGAGCAAGACTTTATCTCAAAAATAACCAACGCAAAAAGGGCTGACAGAGGGGCTTAAGTGGTAGAGCGCTTGCCAAAAGAAATGTTGAAAAATTAAATAAAATGGCATATGCGAAATATCTAGCACAGTTCCTGACAGAATAATTGCTCCTTAATGCACATTAATTTCCTTTCTTTCGCCTGGTCCCACACCATTATTCTGTATCTATCTACCAAACCCATAAGACCATGTCCTCCTTTGGGTCCCTTAGATCTGATATAGTCCCTGGCACTACATTTGCCAGTGTCTGTGAATGAATACACACCAGGAACAAACAGAAAGTGAGTTTAGAGTAAACATGGCATCCTCCCTCCAAAATTAGCTAGCTCTTCCTCAGAAGCACCCAATGATTTAGCTAAGGTATGGTATGTAAATTCCACTCATAGGGAAGGACCTTGATCTTGGTCACTGAGTCATGAAGCCAGTCCCAGGACACAGCCTGAACTCTCAATAACCTTATATATGCATATCATTAATAAGCAATCTCTATTGAATCCACATTCACTTCTCTATATATAGAAGAGAAACTGGAGATGCAGCAAACAGCCCAAGATGGCGCCACTTACAAATGATGGAGCCAGAATTCAACCCCAGATCTGCCCAGGCTCAAAGTTCGTGTCCCTAATTAAGAGGACATATTGCCCTTTGCACAGAGGTCCCTGGGAAGGGATGCCTTACCTGCGGCCACCTTTTTGCCCTCCTTCAGCTGGTTGGCCACGTGTTCTGGCAGCATGGCATACAGCAAGGTCTCTGTCTTCTTCTTTTCAATGGCCAGGTGCTTGGAGAGGATGCACAGCTCCTCCTTCTTCCTCTCCAGCTGGTTGGACAGCTCCATCTCCGCTAGCCGTTGCTGGTTGAGAAGGATGAGATCCCTGGTGGTGTCATGGGGGGCGATGTCTGACAGATGCATCTTGAGCTCCTCTAGCTCTTGCAGGCTGCGGAGCTTTGGAGAGCACATGAATATCATGCATCGCAGGGACTCCATCCAGATCATCTGGCCTTCTCATATGGAGGGAAATGCGACAATGTCACTAAGACAAGAGGAGATGAACCCACCAGAGAGGCAAGCATCCTCCAGGCAGCATGCCTTCTAGCTTGCTCCCTCCCTTTCAGTCAAGTGGTCAAGTGTGGTAAGACTTATCGGTGCTTTCTGCCTCCACTTACCCATCTGCCTCTCCCTCAGCAACAGCTGTCCCTGTGGCTGCTTTTCTGGCTTTCAGATGGCTTCCAAAGTGTCAGCTCCATACCAGTTTCTCAGTCTCCACCTGGCCCTTCTCTTTTTGATGGTGTTAACATAACCTTCCCTCCTGAACTTTCACTTCCTGGAGCTTTCTAACACTGTTTTCTCTTTGAAATTTCCCCTACTTCTTTGAATTTTTTCCTTTAGGATTTTTTTTTTAAATCCCATCCTTTAAATGTTGGCGTTCACTGGGGCTTTGTCTTAGTTATTTTCTTTTAGCATTTACACAACTGCATCCTACACTGTGCTGACAATGAGTTTGAATTTCCAGAGAAATCTTGCTTCCATATTCAAGATGTGTATTTCTTTAAGAATGTATGTCGAGTAGCTCATCATAAAACCAGCATTCATTTGTTGCAGAAAAGAAAAAAATGAAAACACTGATCACCTGTAATCGTATCACTGAGATAATGTTAATATTTGGAGTATAGCTTTGTATCACCAAAAAATGGGACTATCTGGCATATTTGTGAAATCTGAATTTTTCACTTAAAAATACGTAACAGTTATTCTTTGATAGAATTCAATGTAGATACACATCACAATTTTGCTGGCTATATTATTACACTGCATTTTTGCATAAAAAGGTAGCACTTATTACATTATGTCTAATTTATTTATAAATGACACTGCAATGAACACACTTGAGACATCTTTGTATATAATTGTGGCAGTTTTGTTAAAGGATATATTTTAAGACATAGAATTAGACAAAAAATATGCTCATGGTTAAGGCTTTTGATATATATTGTCAAATTGCTCTCTAGGATGATTATGACAATTTATACACAATTATTTATAGTAATTTTTCTTTGCTCCATATCTGGTATTTATTTGTGGGTGCCTGCCATTGAGCTCCCATCTCTTTTGAACATTTTTTTCATTAATTCTTTTATCACATAAGAATTTAGTCCCTACCATTAAGCCAAGTACACTGGTTCAGACATTGAGGGATTAGGCAGTGGCTCAAGTTGACAAAAACCCTTGCCCTCCCATGATTTCAAATCATGCATTTACTCAGTTAATCACACCTTCATTACCAGTTACTCAAGCAGGGACACTAGTAATTATTCTAACTATTCTCTCTTTCAACCTCCACATCCAGTCACCATGTCCTGCTTTCATTGTCTTGTGAATCTGTTCTGATTGCCATCCCAGTGCCACTTCCTGAATTCATTGTGCATCTTAAACTTCTCACCTGCTCCACAACAGTGGCCTCTACCTGGCTTGCCAGGCTCCATCATCTTTACACTTTGATTCATTCTTCACATGTGTCCAGAGCAGTCATTCTAAACCATTAATTTGATCCATGGAACCCCCTGAAAAATGTTTCCAACTGCTTGATAGAGTTCAAGTCCTCATCTCGCCAGCCTCATCTCTCACCAGTCCATTTTACAATTAACTTGGGCTCTCAGAACACATAATTTTTAATTTTCCTCTTGGATAGCTCTTCAGCTCTGCCTATATGTATGCCTCGCATACCTAATCACCAGACTAATAGAGAGAGAGAGCGATCAAAATGTGTCTCGCTTACACCATATACAAAAATTAGCTTGAAATGAATGGAAGACATAAGAGCTAAAACTATAACTCTCATAGAAAAAAAACAGAAAAATGACATTGGATATGCAATAATTTCTTGGTTATGATATCAAAAGCACAAACAGAAAGAAAAAAGAGATAAATTAGATGTCAAAATTTAAAACTGCTGTGTATCAATCAACAGAGTGAACAGGCAACCAACACAGAGAATGGAAAAAAACATTTGCAAACCATATATCTAGTAAGGGATTACTATCCAGAATATATAAAAAATTCTTACAATTTAACCATGCATATATATGTACACACACACACCCCACAGTTGAATAGACACTTCTCCAAAAATATGTATAAATGGTCAATAAGCACATGAAAAGATGCTCAATAACATTAATCACCAGGGAAATACAAATCAAAGCCATGCACGGTCATGTGCACACATTGTGATAGCTGTTATTTTTTAAAGGAAAATAGTGAGTGTTCATGAGGATTAGAGAAACTGGCATTGCTTATGAAATTTCTGATGGGAATGAAAACTGCTCAGCAGTTATGAGAAACACATGGCATTTCTTCAGTAACTCAAAAGTAGAATTACCATATAATCTGGTAATTCCATTTCTGGATATGCTGAAAAGAATTGAAAGCAAAGACTCGAAGAGATATTTGCACACCCATGTTCACAGTAGTAATATTCACAATAGCCAAATGTTGGAAGTAACCCACATGCCCACCAGCAGATGAATGGATGAATAAGATGTATATACAAACAAGGAATATTACTGAGCTTTAAGAGGGAAAGAAATCCTCATATAGGGTACGACATGGATGAACCTCAAAGATCTTATGCTGAGTGAAATAAGCCAGTCACAAAGTCACAAAGTCATACCTAAACACTGTATGATTGCACTTATATGAAGCACTGACAGTAGTCAAAATTGCTGAGACAGAAAGTAGAATGGTGGTGGCCAGGAAATGGAGAAAAGAGGAATGGGGAGTTACTGTTTAATGGGCACAGAGTTTCAATTTGGCAAAGGCAGAAAAGTTTTGCAATGGATGGTGATGATGGTTATGAATGTACTTACTACCAATGATCTGTGCAACTTAAGTATGGTTCAAATGGTGAATTTTATGACATGTAAATTTTACTACATTTGAAGCAAAAGAAAATGTGTGCCCCTCTAGTAGGACAGATGATTCTGTTACGATGTAATGGACAGATATATTAATACATACCAATACTACCCAATGAATTCTGAAATTTTAACAATTACATAACTTATAGAGTTTTATAATTGTAGCTACATGTATATTACATGTAGATTAACTATAGTATATAGCGTTTTACTATGTTTGTGTGTATATGTATAGTCCATTTGTGTCTAAAACAAAAATGGTTCAGGAAATAAAACTTTTCGTTTACAGATCACGACAAGTAGAAGTGTCAAAAAAAAAACAGAACAGAACAGAACAGAAACACTGGTTCTCAGTGTACTCCCTGCTCCAAGCTTTTGCTTTGTTTTGTTTTTGGTAGTACTGAGGTTTGAACACAGGGCCTTGTGCTCGCCAGGCAGGGGCACACTTCAAGCCCTTTTTGCTTTCAAGTTATTTTTCAATAGGGTCTCACTTTTATGCCTGGATCAGCCCTTGTCCCAGTTTTTAGGAACCTGGGAAACCCTCTTCCCCTTTTGACTGATCTCCCATCAGGCAGGAAGCAAATGAAAAGCAGTGAGTTATTACCTCGGAGTTTGAGTGTGGGCTGACTTTTCCATGCTTCAGGCATCATTTCTTTTCGTGTCTTTAGAACAAATTGGCTGTTGATAAATTTGCAGATGCTGGAAATGTTGAAGGTAACTTGAGGATGAATGATGGAGAAATACTCGTCTAATTGAATCTTCTGGGTTTGGAGTCCTGGGACATACTTCTAAATTTTCACTCCAGCTTGCTTGACCCTCAGCTATGCACAGAAGACAGATATCAGACTGGTGAACAGAAAGCATCCTCACTATAAACTTCCATTTAGAAATACCACTTGGGCCATGCTTTGTGACTCACCAGGGAGGAAGGGGGGTCAGTAATGGAATAAACATCATGGAAGGAATCATTTTTTAGAAAATTAAATCTGCAACTAATAGTAACAGTACTTAGAAGCATATTCCTGACTAGCAAGAAAAACACATTAAAGCTTTGTAATCTCTCTTTCTCTCTCTTCTCTCTCTCTCTCTCTCTCTCTCTCTCTCTCTCTCTCTGTGTGTGTGTGTGTGTCTCTCTGTCTCTCTGTCTCTGTCTCGCTCTCTCTTTCTTTCTCTCACAAAGAAATCGGTACATTCTGCAGCACTGGATCTGACACCAGGCCTGGGTGAAGGCATCCTCTAAGGGGGTGGGGAGACGCTCCTCTGCTGAGTCCAGGGAATACACAGAAGAAAGATAGAAAATAGGTGCCTTTTGCATAAAATGCCCATTGTCATGAACACTAACTTACTTGGGGATTCTGTTAGGCTATAAATATCAGCCTTACCTTTGGACATACATTTTATTAACTTTTCTGTTACTCAATGCCCAAAATTTGAAAAGGAGGAGAATTTTAAAAATAGATTAGATTTTAAAATATTAATAGTGGCAGTAATAATAATAAGAATAATTGTTTGACAATTCTCTCATTTCATATAGCAGTGTTTTTTACCTCAGTCAGATGATAATTTCTTTGTGGGCAGAGACACCACTCAAATGAGTGAAATTCACAGAATATGTATACAGCACTCAACTGGTAGGTAATTATTTAATATGTCTAAGAGTCCCTGTGAATATCAGAGAAAATTATAATGGCTGAAGTCATTTTAATTGATTTTTTTTATCAAATCAATTTCACTTATCTGTCCTTCAAAAATGAGTTCATAATCGACTCAGTTGACATGGATAACAATCAAACATAAAAGGCCATGTTCACAACACAACAGAATGCACCAGGAGGTCAGCAGAAACCTCTCTCCTATCTTCAAGATGCAGGAAATGAGTCACAGTGGTAATGAGCCATTCATGATGGTCACAAGGATGGTGGGAGGTCACATTTAGAATCCACCTAAACATTGCTTGCAACGATGTTTGGGTGTGCCTTTATGAAATGAATTTTAGTGTAATTTCATTTTGCCTTTTTTTTTGATGATAAACTTTCTCATTTATTCACTGGTTCAAACCTTCCTTTCTGTGCCTACCAAAAAGATACTGCATTATGGTTTCCAGAGGATTCCACAACATGAAATGAAATCAACGATCCTGTTAGGGTAAAGCCTAGTCTCTCAAGCCCTGGGAACTTCTCAGTGACTTCAAAGTCCTTACCAGCCCTAAAATCATTATAAATCCCTGGCTTACTCCCTACTCCAAACACCATTGGAAAACAATCTCTTACTGCTTCATCAAAGACAATGTGGAAAGGAAAAGCATTGCAGAAGGTCTTCTCTTCAATCCAGAGTCTCTCAGGGTAGATGGGCTTGAATGTGTCCCTGAGATGTCCTGGACATAGAAAGAGAAAGGTCCTAATGAGAGGCAGCCCTTGCACAGAGCCTTGCAGGAGAGAGGGATAGAATCTTAAGTGTTTCACAGCAAAGTACAATCCCCACTGTTTAGCGCAGGCTCCCTCAGCGTCTCCAGATGGCCAAGGCAATTCTTCTTCCAAATTAAAACAAACAGAAAACTTGCTACCAGGTTGAGAAGGCCTCCTGCCCCCTGCCAAGTTTCTGCCTGCCGCTGAAGAGTTTCTGGGCCAATTGAGTACATCTCACCATGAAAACAGAGTCTGCATTGAAATGGTGACAGGCAGACAATGAGCTAGCAGAGCAGAGCGTGTGCGCTGGGTCCAGCATCAGGGACATTTGCCATGGAGCTTTTTAGACTGACAGTTTTGGGTGGCACATGAAAATTTAACCAACAGTCCTATTTGGCAGGGGGTAGAGATTCGAAATGGAGCCTTTTTGATATGAAAATCTCCTAGACAAAGGATGTCAATGTGTGTTTGACTCGTTTGCCACAGCCTGAAGGACTCAAAAGGCAGCCCTCTGAGCCCTGCAGACCTTCTCCCAGATGCATGTCATCTGACCCATGGGGCCATGACAAGGAGAGTCTAGCCCTCTTCTCCAGTGGATGGGAACCCTTATTCTGACTTGGTTGTTAGGTGTGAGCTATTAGACTAGGTCAGTGCCCACAGAGGCACCATAGAGAGTTTACTGTCTTCACTTGGACAAGGCAGAGGACCTTGTCCAAGGTCACATAGATCCTCAGGGACAGAGCCAGAAATCTGCTTTCTTGACTCTTGATCCACTGCCCTTTACATTGCATTCCATAGATTTCTGGTCCCCAAATGCATCCCAATCAAGAAGTCCTGGATCCAGAAGAGGAGCTGTGGGAAATTCATTGTTCTTGGTAATATGTCAGTGCCCACTTTCCTTCTCTTAAACACTCACCACCTAGAATGGATTCCAACCCTCTCTCCAGTGGATTTCCCTGAGTATAGTGGAGACTGTGTCTCCATCTTACCCAGTGCACACAAATGGGCCAACAGAAGGCAAGTTAGAGCGTGATATCTTACAGTTAAAAAACATGGCTGCCAAATCCAAGCTCTGTAAAAAGCAGGGCATCACAATTACAAAGGATTCTGTCCATCTGAGCACAAGAGTTGCTTCTCTGCCAACCAGGCAATCTTGCTGAGCAAAGTGCCCAGGCTGGGAGAACAGCTCCCTTACCTTTTCCAAACATGACCATACTCCTCACAACATCCCAGTGGGACTTCTCCCCAGGACAAACAGAGACATTCAAATATTTTTCCTTCATCTTCAGGAAAGCTACCCTGAGATCCTGCAGATGGTAGGAAGAGAAGAACAGTATCTGGTCACATGAATGGAAATGCAGGAACCCACTGCTGTAAGTGGGTCTGTTTTCACATGTGGAATATTGTCTACAACCAGGGGTCAGTGTGAGGGCTTGTGAAATCAATTCTACCAAGAGCTTGTATCGCCCAAGATTTTTGATCTAGTTAATCCTCATGCCTATTTCTCTATCAAGAACAGTAAGAACTTATTACAAAAATCTCAAGAGGGAGGTAGGGTAGCGTCTGGCTGGAAAATCACACATGAACCTCTTCTATTGCTTGTGGTCGAAGATTCTTCAGTGAACAGCCTGTGACTTAGCTTTGCAAGCTCGAAGAAAGAAACTTGTGCTCTAGGGATCACAGACCTGTCAGGATATCTGTACAGGTTGTGTAGACAAAGAGAGCTGTTCACCTAGCATATGTGGTACCTAACCCAGCAATGGTCATCCTACGAGTTGCAGCTGACATAACTGAGCACAGGATCTTCAGTAGACTTCAGTGACTGGCTTCAGCTGCAAAGTGGGCATTGGGGACCTGAAAGGTCAAGTTACTTAAGGGAAATTGTGAAAATAAATCACCAAGTCTAGATTTCAAGCCCTTTACTCTGATATTTTTATAGGTGAACATTTTCCAGATTAAGGAGTATTCCAGAAATTCTCCAATGCATGTCCAGATCAACTTAACTCAGCAGTTCCCAACTATGAGTGGTTTTACTCCTTACCTCCTACCCTGAGGACATTGGCAATGACAGAAGACATTTTTGATTGCTACAACTAAGGAGGCAAGGTTCTAGTAGCATTTAGTGAGCAGCCCATCACGACAAAGAATTTTCTGGTCCACAGGTCAATAGAGCCAGGATTAGAAAGCCCTGCCTTAACTCTCCACTATGAGAAGTTCCAGTCATTGTTTGCATGCAGTGTTCCAAGACAGGCAGCTCTTCTAGAGGGGTGGGGGACCGCGCTTTCTGGAGACGTAGCAAACTCAGTACCTCTTGGTCTCTCTGGGTGTCCTCATTGTCTTGTAATCTTGGCTTTGCCCTTCTTATTTTCCTGTGAGCATTCTGCACAATCAGAAATACAACATGCTCTTTTTTTCCTGTCCTCCCCACTTCTTCATTCATGTCAAGGATATCCATGGCCACATCAATGTCAAAGAAATCCTTAGCCACAGCCTCAATGATACCTACAACAGAAGGACATCTATTGGTGAAGGATGGCAGAAGGCAATGCATGGGAAAAAATCAAGTTGTACAACCTCTGATGAACTTCCCAGGGTTCACCACACTCATGCCTGAATTCAGCTGTAAAAGCACCAAGGATCATGTTTTCAAAAATGTTCCTCTGGGAATGTATCCCAGAGTTAAAATACAACATGTAGAAAAAGCATGTGTGAAGATGTTTTTTACAGTATTGCATACAATAGCAAAAGATTAGTATCAACTAGAAATGCAACAATAGGGGAGTAGTTAAGATAATTATATGAACTGTTCATCCACCTAATATATAGTTTTAGGGGCTGGAGGTGAAGCTCAGTGGTAGACCTAAGGTCCAGTATGAATGAAGCCTTGGGTTCAATCCCTAGCACCCAAACAAAACAAAATTAACAAACAAACAAAAAAAAAACCATAGCTTAAATATCATCCTAAGATAAGATTTTAAAGACTATATAAAGACATAGAAGCATGCTTTTTCTACAATGCTAAAAACAAAAAAGGACTGACACAAAATATTTATAGAATTATCATAACTATGTAATTACATGCATAATTAAAATGCTAAAAATAAAAATTATTCCTTATTTTCAAAATAAGCTTATTTTCAAAGCTCATGGATTTTGGATAATGATGCTAAGGAGTCAGACACTAAAAGAGCTCCTTCCCCACAGCTGGCTGGTGTCCTCACTCCAGAGGTCTCAGGTGTCTGAGACCAGGTACCATTTCATACCTGGTACAATGTGACACAGTCCACTTCTATCTGAGTAGTAATGGAGAAGCATTTCCCCATCCGCTCCTCTCTCCACACGAAATGATGGCGCATTCATCTCCTAATCAGAACACACAGCACATTTTCCCCCAGGAAATGCAAATTGTCTGAGTGATGATTTTAAGTCCCCTTGAAACAAAAGTACTTATCTACAGCAGCACATAGAACTATGTCCCCAGTGTTCTCCAGTCACATAGTATCTGACAAGGTTTCAGCTCCTATGTGTCAGGAAATTTACATGTACCTCATCCCCCACCCCCATCAACTCCATGGTAAGTATTATCTCTATTTTAAAGAGGAGCAGACTGAGGCTCAGGGAAGTTAAAGCTAGATTAATGGTAAACAATGGTTGATCCCACTCCATCCCTCAAATGAGACTTTCTACCATGTCATGCTGCTTCTGTCCATACTCCAAGGGACAACTGATTGGAAGGTACGGGTAAGCCTAAGTGAGTCTCAGCCATGCTTGGCCTGTGACCATGTTACTGAGGACACACCCAGGGGAATTTACAAGTGGACTGAATGAATTCATTTCTTGTTCTGGAAGGACCATACCACCTGTGGTATCAAGTTCCACATTTGGAAAAAGAAAACCCTTAAGAATGCATCAGAAGAAATCCTCTTTCTCCAGGAACTACTGTTGAAATTCAAGTTCATCACTCACTAAGTGAGATGTTGGTTGGTAAGAAGGATAAATATTGGGGAATTCTCTGTGAGAAACAGCTTCTCCCTTGGTTGATTCACAGGCAGTTCAGCTCCCTAGACACACAGCTTTTGGTCTGAGAGAGGGAGGAGGTTGAGAATGTGCGTTCCAAAATTCTTGCATGGTGCATGGCTGCTAGTTAAAATGGGTTCCTCATTTTTCAAATACTTGTATTTCCAAATGTATGCACATAAATAAAACCATGTATGTTTGCATGCATGTGTGTTTATATCTTGTCTAAATCTAAACTTAAGGGTGTTAAGAGCATAAGTCAATGTTTATAAATTACTTAGCACAACACCTGCCTCAAAATTAGCAGTCAATGATAGTTGGTTAAAAAATAACAAGAAAAGGCATATGTATAACCAGGAATACGTGCTTTAAGGAAAATCAACATTATCTTTATTTATTTTTGCTAAAAAGATAGTCTGTAATACTTTGTCTAGAGTAAAGCACTTCATAACAGCTATCATGGCATGTGTTTTTATCCCAACTTGTACACTATAACATTTAAATATTTTGTCTCATTATATGCAAAATGTCCTCACATATCCAAAGAGAGGTTCTCATATTGCTTCTTAAAATGTGGTTTGACACATGACTACGGTTTGGGACTTGGAAGAAGGGTAACAGGATTGGACATAAAAAGAATAGATTTGGGAAACCTCCATTCTTTTTACTTTTATTCGTGAGGGTGACAGTAATGCTATGCAACCAAGATCTGGTGCACAAAAGACATTCCATAATGTTTTTTTACTTAATGAATAAATAAGGGAATATTAATACTTTCTCTGGAACTGTGACTCAATATATTATTCAAATTTGAAATGAAAGATGTGATATTAAAAATATTACAGGAGTTCATAGAAAGGGCCTCACTATATTTTTTATATCCTAATTATTATGGTTTAGTTAAGAATTTTGACAGGAAGTTGCCAAGCAAGTTCTTATCATTTTAAAACTGGACATATTGAACAGAGTGAAAAGGAAGGAGATAGGGAGTATCACAGTTCAAGGTCTGAAGACTGGGAGGATTGCAGGTCAAGGACAACCTGGGCTAAAAGTTTACAAGACTCCATTTCAGCCAATGGCTGGGCACAGTGGCCTGTGCCAGTCATCCCAGGTTTGCAGGGAAGCATGCCAGGCTGGCCTGGGCTTAAAGTAAGACCCTATCAAAAAAATAATCAAAGCAAAGGGCCTGGCAGTGTGGCTCAAGTAATAGCAAGCACAAGGCCTTGAGTTCAGCCCCAACAAAAAGCAAGGGGGAGGGCTGGGGAAGAAAGGAAGTTATTTATGAAAAGACTTTTATTATCTCTTTTAATACACAATCACTACGAGGTAGGTTATTTTATTTCTACTTGTTCCTTTTGTCTCTGTGCCTTAATAAGTGTTCAGTACACAGTAAAAATTAAATAACTTTTTTTGCAGTACTGTGGTTTGAGCTCAGCATCTTGCACTTGTTAGGGAAGTGCTCTACCCCTCGAGCCACACCTCTAGCCCTAGTTTATTTTTCAAGTAGGATCTTATACCTTTTGCGTAGGGACAAGCTCAGATCTGATCCTCCTACTTCTGCCTCCCACATATCTGGGAATACAGGTGTGTGTCGCCATGCCTGGCCCTCAATAAATATGTATGAACTAAGCGAGTAGAAAAATAACTTGTCCAGGGTGACCAGCTGGCAAATCTCAAGGTGCTAAGGCAGCAGTGGGTACCATCTGATCCTAGAGCCATGGCCCTTTCCATCCCCTCCCTCCTCAAGGAGTTCATGTGATAACAGAACAGGCCCCAAAACTCATTCTGTCTGAGGTTGATTAAGGTTTCTAAGACTCTGATTCTTTATCTGAAAAGTGGAGGAAAGAATACATTTCCCATTTTAAGTGTATGAGGTCACATAATAGCTAAAACACAATCTTACTATCCTCTGACAACCCTGAATGGTGCTATGAACACTAAATACAGGAATAGTCAAGAAAGAGCTTGATAAACTACAAATGGCCCTAAATATAAAGATAGACCATTTTACATAAAAGAATAAGCTACCTAATATTATGATATGTATAAATGCCACTTTGTTTTTTCAACAAAGCATTTTCTTATCTGAAAAAGAAAAGGGAATCTAGGTATTTAAATCCCTAACATCTCTACAAAGAAGAAAACCAAGGCATGAACTCCAGAAGGACACATCCCAGTAGGGAAATTAGTTTCTTAACACCTCAGTCAGTCACCCTGGTGGTTAATCAGAATTGGATGGTTTCCGGATTTGGCTCTTGGCCCTGTCAACTCTTTCCTTCTGATACTTGAATAACATGAATCTGGCTGCATAAGCTATTTATCAGCTCCATCCAGGCCAGAAAACCTTAGGAGAGATTTTGCAAATCCCCTGAAACTTGACTGTTTTCCAGTCTTTGTTCCCATTGTGACCAACCTCCTAGGTTTAGTTCCAAATCCTTGCCAACCCTGTGAAAGGTGTCCACAAAGCTGGACCTCTCTTTGTTTTTTTTGTCAGTCACTTTATAAAGGTAGCCAACAGGTATTTATCTTCCTTTTCTTTCCCAAGAGAACCCCTGGGTCCCTCAGTACTGGAGAACAAGGTTTCTGCAGTGTGATATAGGGAAGCACATTCCCCCTGCACCCGATCCTCTCTTGGAGGAGGTGGGAGATGACCCAGAACCACTAAGCATTTGCTACCTTTCAGGACCATCAAGATCAGAGCCAAATGGCCTTACCTGATAAGAGAGTGCCAGGTAACTGTGAAGGGCATCTAGGTTTTCAATAAACTCTGTGAGGTTTCCTCCTAGTGTCCGCAGCATCCTGTCATAGCCAGACATCTTACAGAAGTTGAAGAAGTATTCTCCAAAGAGCTTCAGAATGGCTTCCATGGACACATCTGTGGAATCCAGAGCACAGTCACCAATAAGATCCCCTGCGAGGTGTTTGTTTTCCCATGGGCAGTCTTCATTTATTTCCAATATCCAAATCCTCTTGTGCCATACTTACTGAGCTACTGTCTAAGGCTTCACTTTCCCTAAGAAATGTCACTGATAACCTCAATGTCACAGGGTCAGGACAGCCCTGGCACCTGATAGCTGCTCATTAACCATGAGTTCCTCCCAAGCCAACCCTGATCTTTCCTGTGCATCCATGGCAAATACTTCCCCACAGTCCAGGATGGAGCATGGAGCTGTTGTGCCGCCTTCACCTCTTTTCCAGTGTCCAGATCAAGAGTCACTCTGGGCAGGGCAGAGTGAGGCCCTCTGCAATCTCTCCTACCACTTCACACATCTTCAAATTCACAGCCTAAAGTGAGGTCAAAGGCTACCTCTGAGAAACAACTAATACCACAATGCAAAAGTGATTCCTTCAAGGTTATGTCCTCCTGATTCACCCAAAAGATGAGAAAAATGTCTGCAGTAATTTCTCTTTCTCTCTCAGCCTCACCAGATCCTGGTCTCCCTTTGAAGTTCAGTTTTTGCATCATGTTCTCCTTGGAGATTTCTCTGAATATCCCAGGTTGCACTCAATTTGCTCTTCCTAAGTTCCATTTTTTTCTTCCTAACTGTAGGGTTATTCTGGTGGGCAGTAGCCTTGGTTTACATGTTTTCTGAGCTAGACACAAAGTAGGTGCTTGGTGAACTTCTGGGGGTAGATTTGCAGCAGTGGGTGGGGGCTAGCGCCCTAATCTCTTCATTCTCCATCTGTGCTGTTGGGAAAGGAAATGTTTTTTAAAAGATATTTGGAGTTCTCTCAACACTCTTAAAATTATTTTACCCTTGGTTGTCAAAATCTTGGAAGGTAGATGACCATATTATCATGTCCCCATTTTTCCAAATGAGCTCACTGACTCCAAGTCATCTTTGTGAATTGATCCCAATCGCACAGAGTGGCAGACTAAATTTGCTGCAGAGACTTTTACCTCCTACTCCACATACTGTAACCTCTGCACTTAGACAAACAAGGGTCTCCCCAAGGTTGGACTGTCATCCTTGACAAACGGGACAGGGCATCCATTCATGCTGCTGGCCTGCAGCTCCAGTGAGAACATTCTCTTATTTATGGTGCAGTCATTACTCCATTGAGTCCTCAAGGTTGGGAGAAGGTCCAGAATGCTCAGCTTAGTTGGAGACCTGCAGGATTCATGATTCCTTGACTTGAAGGAGTTTATGATACTCCAGCTAGATCTGGTACTCACAGTGAGGACTCTCCTGGACTCTGTCTCACAGAGTGGCAGGGATGCAAGGAGGTCTTAGCAATTTCCAGCCTCTACTTGTTTCCTAAGATGATCTGAATAGTAGATTCCCTATAGCACACTGTCCTCAGCCAAGACCTTTGGGCAGATAATTGTTTGTAATCTGAGCAGACATAATCCCAGTAAGTTGCACTGGTCTTGTGAGAAATAAGTTATTCATATTTCCAAAAAATGTATTAGTCAGGTCTTCTGAATCTAACAAAGTGGTAGTACAGGAGGTAACAATCACCTGTGTTCATTGCCTCCTTTGGGTTTTTTGTATGCAGGTCCATCCTAGCTGGATGCAGGCAAGTTGGTCCATACCTGTCAGCAGGAACCACTTGCTCCAACGTGAGCTACAGCAAATTCTACTCAGATCCTTTTTGTTACCTATGAGTTCCTTGGAGGACTCCTGAGAAAGTAAATGGACAGGTGTGGAGTTGCTCCTTCCTCTCTCCTTCCATCCCTCCCTTCTCTCTAAATGTAGCAAATTCAGGCTGAGAAAAACCAGCTGTGCTGTGCAGCCTGCAGGCTGGAGCTCTGTGCAGGTGCATCCTGTTACCTGCCAGGAGAAGCACAGATCCCCAAAGTCTTCCTTCTGCCAGGGACTTTTCCCAGGAGGACTAGGCTGTCTATAAGCCAGGCAGTTAGAGTTGAGCGATAGTGGCAGACTTGTATAGAAAAACTGCCTGACTTTTCTTTCAAATCCGAAAACTGACAAAAATCCATGAGGTTGCCCATTCCAGACCCGGTTATTTTGTTTGTGGGCGCCAGGCTCCATCAACAGATCCAAGAACATCTGGTTGAGAGACTGTTTCTTAAACTTCAATCTTGGACTTGGGTGTGGTGGTTTCCATCTGTGCTGGGCTTGGGCTGCTTCTAGGATTCTTGGTTCAGAATGCTTGCCTAACAGGGGACAAAGGGCTTTTTTCAAAATCAACACCTGTCTTACTTTTTAAACACACTTTCGCCTCAGTGAATTGAGGATTCTAAGACCTCTCTAAATCACAGGAGTCTACAGATGTATAGAAAACAGTAAGAAAATACAAGAGCAAACCAAATAGAAATCTTCACTGCTTTTAACTGTTACTTGAGAGTGCAAAGAAAAATCTATTGTATGTATATTATTCTAGTTTTTGTGGAGAAATAAGGAACTATGCATCTATCTGCTTATTTGTACAAAATTAAGTACCAGCAGGATAAATCAGGGACCACTGTGATTGGTTACCTACAGGTCCTTGGTGAGAATGGGGTGGAAAGACTAGAAAACTTGTGAGGAGTGGGGGCTTGGCACCCTTCTGAAAATTTTTTGTACAGTTCTGGTTAATCATGTTCATGTTTTATATCCTTAAAATAAACAAAATTAAAAAGGAGACTCCTAAGGTGGAATACCAACAAAAATAACAGAACATTTCAACAACACAGTTTTGAATAACACCCAGGAAAAAAATTAACCCAGTAACATTTGAACATAGTGCTTCAACTTGTTTGTCTAAAGACAAAAGAACTTTGGACAAATATTTAATGGTAGTTAGAAGGCTTCCTTTACATCAGTGTGAGTTATGAATTCTGAAAACAGTTCAGAATTCAGAGTCATGAACTGAAACAGTTCAAATCAGAGTCATGAATTCTGAACATTGCAAAATTGAGCATACAAATAAATGTATTGTAGATAGTAGGAGCCAGGTTTCCCACTATTGAGAATGAGGTTGCAATTAGGGAAAGAGGAAGAATAAAACGAATTCTGTAGTGTTGGATTAGGAAAATCTAACCACAAAACCTACCATGGGACACATAGATAAGTATGTAGATGGGTGGATGAATAGATAGATGATAGATAGATGTGTGTATGTGTGTGCACACGTGTGTATTATCTATTTTCTAGCTGGAGGGCTTAGCAGTAGTGACTCCCCACTAGCAATGAGCTCACCTACTGTCCAGATCTTGGTTTGTAAACGCCATCCTCCATTAAAAGGAAGCAGCGCTCCTAGGATAAGTGGAAGATTTCAGGGCTGAGACAGAGAAAACATCAGATAAACCTGCACCATTTTGTCATGGTACCATTAAAAGGAAGCAGCGCTCCTAGGATAAGTGGAAGATTTCAGGGCTGAGACAGAGAAAACATCAGATAAACCTGCACCATTTTGTCATGGTACACATGAAGGATATGTCAGAAGGGCCCAGGGCCAGTTTGGAGAGGAATTGTACTGGATAGATCTTGGAGAATTTGACCATCAAAGCAAATAATGAAAGTAAAGGATTACAATTTATTTAAAAAAAATAACAATCAAGTATCCACAGTGATAGAAATAAATGAACAAGAAAGACAGAAAATTCTTCTTTTAGAACTCCAAGTAGCAAATTTAAAAGAAATAACATACTTATAAAATTGCCATCTTAAGTATCTGTTTGGACAAGAATCACAATGATTTAATATAAATCAATGGTAAAATCATGGAAGAGGGAGTCTGAGAAGCAATGAGATATTTGCATAATCTGAAAGTATCTCCTCAAAGATTTAATTTCAGAGGGAAAAGTCATAACTTTAGAGTGGAGAAACCTGGCAGATCTCACATTAACCAAATGATCAAAGTTAACATCACCAAGAATGGGGTAACTTGACATCTTATACCTCCTGATGTGGTAAACTAGGAAGGACTAAAGATGACTTCTGTGCACTTCCTGCCAAGAAAGCATAACCTGAAATTCTGTCATAAGGAACTAGTAAATGATCCTAAATTGAGGAACATTCTACCAAATAACTGAACACAACTCTCTATAGGTATCAATGTTATGAAACATAAAAAGATTCAGAACCTCTTCCAAACTAAAGGAAACTGAAGAAGCATGACAAGTGACATGATCCAGAGTTTTCTTTTGTTATAAGGATATAATAGGCCACTTGGAAAAACCTCCATAAAGTCTGTAGGCTAAGGCTCAGATGTTCAAAAATCTCATGTTCTCCCTCATATGCGTATTATAGACCCAAAACACATGCAGTAGTATTATTGGACATGGGTCACACAGTAAGGGGAGAACACTCACGGGAGGAATAGGGAAAGGACAGGAAACCTATAACGTGAATGTGGTTGATGTGCTCCCTGTTGAGGAGAAAATAAAGCAATCTTAAACCGGTAGAGGCCACTATGGGAAGGGGATTAGGAAGCAGTGAAGAGGTCTGGTAGAAACGAACCAATGTGGGTTGTAACACACATGCGCATGGAAGTAATGCTAGGAATCTCTCTGTATAACTATCTTTATTTCAAACTAGCAAAAAATGCTACGTCTTTCTTATTATCTCTTATGTTTTCTCTTCAACAAAATCAGAGAAGAGGGAGAAACAGGTTCTGCCTGGAAGGGAGGGGAGAGGGATAGGTGGCACAAACAATGTAAAAACATGTAAGTAAATGTAAAAATGATAAAATAAATGTAGAAAAGAAAAAAGTCTGTAGGCTAGATAATTGCACTATATTAATTCTCATTTTCCCAGTTTGAGCATTGTACTATAGTTATGCAAGAGAATTTTTAGCGAAAAGAGGTATCTTATCTGGAACACGCTAACAGTTCAAGGGCAAAATACAGATACAGGTACAGAGAGAAGGATGGAGCTGATATGGTTAAAAATGTTAATATTTGGGAAGCATGGATGACAAGTATATGGA